TTAAAACTATGTTACTTACTGTGGGTTTCTGAGACTAAAATATTTTTTTAATGATACATTGACACATGTGACACAATGATTTTACACGAACACAAATTAAACATCTAAATAATTAATATCACATTAATTTATAGATAATGATACACAAAATCACACAAATAATTGTAAGTAATATTTTACATCAAAATTGGTTAAGATCTCTGTCGCTAAAACTATGTATTAAATGCGATTATTCAGATGTATGGATGGATGGATGTTTGTTTGAAGTTTCCAGAAAAAATACATGTATTTTGCGGATATCTATCATATATGTAGAACACAGTCTGGAAGAATAAAGTGGCTACTAATTAAGTTTTCTTTTATTTCACGCGGACGGAGTCGCGGCTAACAGCTAGTTATGCTATAAAAAAACTCCAGCTCTAGGTGCATGCGCGGTACATTAATTGCTCGCGCGTAGTATCGCACTTGGGTGGATTTTTAATAGATCACTTCCTCGACCGCTTTCGACAGCATCGATTGTTTCCCTAATAACCCGTTAACAAATCATAACGTTTATTTTGGTTGGGGCCGCAACGATCACACGTCCGCGACTCTATTCTGTTTCAAATCTCTAGCGCTTGTTTGTTTTCATTTTTTAAATAAAACGTACAAAATGAAGTTGAACATGAGTCGAACAAAGCTTTGTTAGTTATTAAATTATTCCGTGAATAATTGCTCGGAAGAAACAGAACAAAAGTTGCCGGTGCACGTGGGTGGGTAATTGTACGTACTTAGACGTGCTAAGGAATTCGTGTATACAATATTTAAGAAGAAAGACGTAATATTTCTTAATCCTACAAACAAAAAATTTATATGACTTTCATCTCGGTTATATAAAACGTCATTTTTTTAAAGATGATCCACTTTATTACGTTTGAAGAGAAATATATATAAGTACATGTAAGTACAGAAGTCCTTATGACCTTACATCATCTCAGTAAAACTGTAATATTGCGCAACAGCCAATACTTACGTCGACTGTCGCTTTTGAATTGACTTGATAAAATTCAGTTACCCATAAACAATTTATTATTACGATATCATTAACATAGGATATGTAGCCTAATAGATCATATTAGGTTAAAAGCCGTGGAGTTTAATATCCTTTCTTAAGGCGATTCGTTGCTCGTTTGTCCCTTCTCCTATAAAAAAAAACAATTGTAAAATTATTAAAAAGTTTACCACCATATTGCTACATTTCAAGTTGACTTTCCTACAGTCAAATAGTTCTACTTTATCTTTCAAGTGTCTTTCTAATGGTAGCCGATGAAAAACATGTTTGGTTTTTTGCTCACAAAAGTAGTTAAAAGCCGCCGCACAGCATATGACTTATATGACTCGACAATATTTGTTGCCAGAATTAGACGGAATTAATTTAGGAACTAACAAAACGTGTTCCTGGCAGGTAGCGATTCTTTTTTTAATGGCCTCCCCAAATGCGGCCGAGATGGCGAGAGCAGTAGCTAAACTTTTTCATTGTTCCCTTCATGCGTGTCAATGTTGAATAGAAAGCTATTTCATATTAAAAAGAAAACTATTTGGAAATTAATGACTGTAATAGTTGAAAATTAATACAAACGTATCGAATTTCAAATTAATTTTTGGCGCCACAGACAAAAAGTTGATTTGATATTATTAAAAAAATAGTGACTGTGCATGAATTTAAAGAAAAGTGAAGAAGTTTGTATGATCCAAAAATGCCACTGGATTTTAAGCAAATAACAAATTTCTTATTCGATTTTTTATGTCCAAATAAAGTTACTAAATTCTTGGTGGTGACAGCTCACAAAGATTTTTTGTATTTTAATAACAAATAGAGATAGTGATTTAATTTAAATAATTCAATTTAATATAAATAGTCAACACATAGTTTATTCCATCATTGTCTTTAGGAAACACAATTTAGGTTTTATTGTAACAGAGGTGGGCGTGAGTTCTGACCCTTGGGGCGGGTGTCGCGGTCACTCGTTCAGAAATTGTATAATTGAGGAGAACGCAACAAACGAGAATAGCCCTGTCCACGCCAACACATTGCGAACAAAGCGTGCCAAACGCAGTGCCCGATGACGAGTGATTGAAAAATCCTATAAAGCCAAATTGTTAATTTCGGACACAAAACAATTTTAAATCTCTGACTTTGTGTTGATTCGTAGGACATTAATATTTTTCTAATCGTTAAATTTATTATCAACGAAAATGAATAATTTAACGCGTGACAAAAACAATTATAGAAAAGATTTTAGAAGAATTATAGAAGATATAAGAAGATTATAGAAGAAATTAATAATTCTGACAAGTTATAGAATCTTTCTCTCTCTCCCTTACTAAAAAAAAAATTATATCATTTATTATTTTAATGATTTTTAAATCAACCGCAAGTGGAAATAAAAATGATACAAGTAAAATGAAAATAATATACTGTCACAAAGAGGTTCGTACACACGCGTCGACATTTTGTTCCATTAGTCGCCAAAAGCAGTCGTTCGCAAAGGTAGAAGAAGAGAGAATTAGTTTAGAAGATTTACGTTGCGTCGTGTGTAAGGGCCTAACTTAACAAAGTTATTCAATTTTTTGGAGGTAAAAAGAATTTCTAATATGCAATTGATAAAAACATGAAACATGTTAAAGCGTGGAAGAAATGAAATGAAACGTTAATATGTCGGGAGGTATAACAGTCTACAATGGGGTTGGACAAAGGGAAATTGTAAGATGGCTCTTCAAGGAGCGAGATCGAGTTACGGGGATGGAGTTTCATCCGCTCTGAATAAAAGTTATGTTAAGATGTCTCTTCTATCGCATTATCGATTTTAACATCTCGATACTAGTGACATTTTTCAGTCTAATTATTAAATTTGTTATGTAAACGAGGCCTATATTATGTTGTTCGATTCTTATTCGGAAAATTTGATTGAAAATTTTATTTTCCATATTAGTGTTAATGAAAAGCCAGATTTGACAAACATAATAGTCGGTTTTCACTGGTAAAATGTATACATATACAAAACATTTTTTTTTTAAATTTTCTAAGATAAGGACAAGAATGGTTTTGGGAATTTTATGCATGTCTATTACAATATGTTAATACCGTAACGAATCAAAAAGGAAGAGAAAATTAAGCCAACCTTTAATTCCCAAGTAAAATGTAATTTATATTTTAAGTCAAAATACGTTCAAAGAAGCCTCTAACGGGTGTAATTCTTTACGAATGTTGCAAAACGGATTTAAAGTCTTTCTGAAGATGACGTCTCTTTCTTCTCAGCAGTCGTCGAGTTTCCTTTGTAATTAAATATTGAAATTAAGAAATGAACAACCGCTAATTACAGGAGCTTGTCCCTCGGGGCCCGATTGCGTTGCCCTCGCAGCCGTAGAAAGGGGTGTCAGGGAGTGGGCTTCGCTTACCATTTAATATTTAAGATTCCACTCCGAATGTGTGCTTTTGTTCGTATGATTTTGATATACTCTATCAAATCGGAATACCATCATTTAAAATTCTCTATGAGTTATATGACGTCATCTCTTTGCAATACATTCTACAATAGAATTCATAAGCAATGAAATTGAGCAACAGTTTGTTATAAAAAAGAAAATAGAGCTATCATAGTACGAACATAAATTCAATGTTTGGACATTTCAATTACCCAAACCACGTGGCGTGCCGCCGAAATCGTGCCATGAGCAATAAAAATTAGAAAAAAAGCAGCAAAGCGTCCCTCTTCACCGAAAAATACGAACAACGTAGTATATATATGAGAATAGAGGTTATTTTATTGTCCTTCAGGAACTATGTATGTTTCTAGGGATATTATTCTTCTATTTATTAGGAAGTTATTGCATGTTTTTGATTTTATGCGAGCTTTAAAACCTTATCAAATTAAATTAGGCTATTGGTGCTTCGATTACATTAAATTATCAAAATAACTTATCACAAATACATACGTACCTTTACCAGAATTGTTTAATATGGTCTGTAAAATTTATCGCTTGTTACAATCAGTTCGGATCAAAACTAGTTGAGAGAGATAGTAATAAGTTTGTTGGGAATGTCTTTATTAACTGATTTCAAATCAAGAGTGTTCGGGAGCTGGTTAATATCCTATCAGACAAACGTAATTAGTTTTGTAAATAAAATGCCTCGGAGAAATTGAAACGTAGACGCTACCTGACGCCCACGGTGACTTGCTCTATCTGCGTATTGTGCTGGGGAATAAAACATTACACATGGTATTTTGATAATGCAACATCATCTTAGCAATCCTTGTGATTTAAATCCTCATTTTTTTAGGTTTAGCAGTAGCTTTTGTTTCTCATAAAATATTTTTAGCAAGTAAAGAGAAAAACAGTATTTTAAATGCCCACTCTATTTTTTCGATGGTCTGTTACATTAATTATGAAATGCCATAATGATATAACTATTATTCGTACAAACTGCAATTGAATTTGTGGGCCTGTCTATTTACAATAATGAAAATTAGACAAAGACAAAACACCACAGATATAACTTTTTTTTAATTAATACAGTAAATTATAATTCCACAGCTGTTTGTGCATTTATTTTTATTTAGAATATAATCAAGTTTCGGCATGCCCTGAGGGACAGGTAAACATTAAGGGGGCATCTTGCTCCAACTGAACATGGAATTATTGTAAAGTAGACTTATGAACCCGAAACTTTTCCGCCCCCAAGCATTTTTATTTAATTTTTTATTTTTACGACACGATTAAACGCGGCTTTGCTTTCACTTTTTATTGTTACTGTGGACGTTCCCTCTAATTTTTGGCTTCAATTAAATTTTCCGCTTTATTAAATCATTATTTTTGATGGCACCATGTTTAGTGCACGTAACCTGCTTCCTTTTATATCTTAAAATACTTTTTAATTACTTTTTTTTTAAATTTAAAACTCATTAATTAGTTTATGATGTCATACAAAATCAATAATGTGCGTCTCTCTTCTTCCTCAGGTACTTCTCAAGGTGAATAGGTATTATGTGTAATCAAGTAGTCTCATCTAGCCTCAACCGGAACTCGTTTAGGAAAATAGAGCATCGCTTTTTTATGAACAAAATCATTTATCATGTTTGTACTGAACCCAAGACAAACTGCTACCACGTTTTAGTTTACCGTAGATAAGATTACGCGCGTTTGTTTTACCTTGTCTACTGATTCCCGGGCCATTTTTGTAACAGTGGCCCATTGTTTGGTGTTTCCAGCCATGATTCTAGTCGAATCATTTTAACAACCACAAAGGGTTATAAGGCATTGACCTGAGTGGATCAATTTTTTTATAATCTATTCTCTAACTACTTATGATTGACGTAAACTTATCTTTGGTGTAATTTTTTTGCCATAGTTTTATCTATCCTTGATTGTCCATTTTACCAATTTTATATTTATTTTTGTCGGCTTTGGCATGACTTTGGCCTGATCATAGTAATGTTACATTTAAATTCTTTATTATTCAAGTGTTTATTTTGCATTGTAGATAGAAACGCTGTTGTATTTTTTGCACGTGCTGTTTTTTTTTCTTTTACAAATACTCGAGGACTTGTAGATATTTTATTATAACAGATTCTGATCCTAAATTTGAATCCCAGTCGAATTTACTAGTGATGGGTATACGATAATAGATAATTTATTGTTTAAATATTTTATACTGGTTTAAAAATCCCGTTACGTGATTAAACCGACACACCACCGGATGTATCGACGCGACCTATTGTTTTATAAAGGGCTTGCTTATGGATCTGATGTTTTAAGGATAAAGAACAGTTTTGAAAGAGTTTAATTTAATACATAAACATTCCCATACGAGTTATAGAGCGACGTGTAAATATAACCCAGGAGAGGAGCCGGGTCGGGACAACTATAAACATAATATGACTATTAGCTCGCGATAGCCTGTCAGCGACTTGTATTTGGTCTTTTCAGTTTGTTGAAACTCCCTTGTAGTCGGGGAAGGATGTTTACGCCCCGTAAATGTTATGATTTAGTGTCAGTAATTGGTAGTGAGTGTGAACACGTCCACTAAGAGTCGAGAATAGTAACACAAATATAATAACAGAGACCCTCGCCTCTATTTATAGTGCAGGCAGACGACGCCGGCTTTGTTCACTTCACATTACCTGCTCGCTTTAATCATTGTTATTTTTTAGTTGAAAGCATACTGTAGTTACTGAAACATAAATAATACGTATGTATGTTTGTATGTAGTAGATATGTACATGTAAACTTAGTAAATAACCAGACTAACACTAATACAGTCTATGTTTTTTAATCTATGTTTACAGTAGACTTAAATTGGGATCGTAATTACGAAAGTTCGATATAAAAGTAATCTCATTTAATTTACAAGTTTTTATCAATCTGCATCATCTATTCAAATGTGACATGTAAACAACATTCGGAAAAGATAAGACGATTAGACAGTGATATGAAGTTCAAATTATTAGAAATTTTAAATGTAGAAAAATGTAACCTAAATACAACAACGTTCTAGTAATCTTTTTTTTGCTAATATATTCATATAGATTATATAAAAATTGGTAACATAATCTTGTGTAAACTATTCGTAAATGTTATTGGTTTAATTTTTTGCAGAATTTAATACAATAGTTGTGTATGTTTGTTGTCTATCTATCAAGGGTACATCAGTATCTGGGGACTGCTTGCGGCTGCTATTTGATCAGTGCCACTCGTGAGCGATGAATATTGCCGAACAAATATAACATACTGCAAAACTATCCGCGGTGTTAGTTTCACTATGGGGTTGAATTCCGCACCGAAATGAGCATCGTATCAAAATGAATACATTATGACTACTATATTACTAAAGCTATTGTAATTTACTTAAAAGTATACATAATTATTTTCATGGAAAAAAATATTTTATATTTCACTATTCTATAAAAGATACTTATCAGTTTTCTCTTCTATATTGTTAATTGCCTAATGGTTAAGGAAACGGATTTCCGACCACGAGGTCGGGGGTTCGAATCCCGCCATTCGACTATTGTCGTAAACCATATCCTAGCACAAGCCTAGAGCTTATTTGGAATGGTAAAAGAAATATTAGTAAATTTACAAAAAAATATGCTAATATTTAAAAAAAATCAAAAAAATTATACAAAAATAACGAGTTATCTCTGGTGGTAACTTGAATTAACTTTTAAGTTATCTCTGGTCCGGAAACAAAGCTTAAGTACCTGTTGCAGAATTATTTGTGCGCTCGTCGGTCGGTATATAAATCGTTCAGTAATAAATCGAACGCATTTTAATGGGTGTTTATCTGTGCGAGCTTTGCGGCGTTCAGATTACGCGCGCCGGCTAAGTGGCGGTCGCGGCACGTGTCTTCTTATCGGTGTCGTTCGACACTTTCAATATTCGATTTTGAGACTTCCCTACCGCGCTCCACGCTATGTATACCTCTCGCTGACTGAAATATGAATAGACGATTCCTTTTTAATTTTTATTTATGGAAATTTAATCGATGTGCACAAAAAAATTTAGAAGACTAAAAAGAAATTGTATCCCGTGACTAAATAAAAAAAAAACTAGTAATTTTATTTGCTCATTTATTTAATGAAGATAATAGAAGTTGTTATAACAATTTGATTACGTTTGTCAAAAGATTTTCTGCTTTGTTTTGAACCCAGATACGCTACAGCAAAGAATTGAATTCCTAATGATGAGTGTAAGAATAACGTCACTATTAAGGAGTATTAGAGATTTATTTTACTTTAAATACTTGATCATGATGTAACAAGGAGGAAAACTCCAACGTCAACACGTACAATACGCCCCAATGCGTAACCGAAAACGGGACTCGCCGCAATCCAAGCTAATGGAGTGTCTCATAATGACGGCTGCTGACATAAAAATAAATAGGCGAGACTCGGTTTCTGCGTAAGCCGATACTATGATAACAGCATCGCTCCCCCGATAATTGCCGAACTTGGTCGACGCCTCTGACGCTTAGTTGTAATGTAGTGCGGATTAGTTGCTTCTGATGTAATTGGTCCGTGCTTATGATTGCCTAGTATCTTATCGTTAATAATGCCTCATATTTTTCTCATTCTATCCATCCAAATGGGTCACACAAAGCTAAAGTCCAACAAAGATTTTATGGCAGTTTTTTTGACATTGACAGGAAGCACCAACATGTTATAATGGTTAACAGTACGCATTTTTTTTTCTTCCGTTCTTGTTGCAACTTTTAACAATTGATTTGTAACTTACGATCTGATTGAGCAAAAATGGCAACACTGACCCGTGCAGCTGCCGATCTCTCATTGGTCAAAGACGCTAGACGTTGTCAAGATGACATTACTAGTTCACATAATTACCGACACCAATAAGATCCTTGTAGAACTATAATATGATGTTAAAGTTAATCCAATGAATCATTTCTCTATCATTTAAATAGGAATTAAAAATAATTTTGTTCCAATATATTTACAGATGGTTTAAGGCAAAATATTATTGTATTTTAATAAAATGTTATTTGGTAAAGCAGTTAGGGTATCGCGAAGCTTTTAGTCTTTAACTCAAAGAACCGGTTTGACTGAAATAATTTAGATACAAGTAGCATTGCACACAAATTATGTTAATATAATAATGTGTCCTTTTAAATTGTACGAACAAATTATTTGTCGCATTATTTGCATTAATTAACGTTTGGTACATGTTCGCTTAAAGAGATCTTAATCTTAATGCAATTGATATAATTATATTACCAATAATGCAATATTAAAACCGCAAACTTCTTACATTTTGTACAAATTTTCAAGTCCCTAATAAACACCATAGTAATTTATTAAAAAGTGTTTCCGAGGTCATGTAATACAAATCTTACTATCTTATCTTACTAATATTATAAATGCGAATGTTTAGATGGAAGGATGGATGATTGTTTGAAGGTATCTCCATAACAGCTGAACGAATCTCGATGAAATTTGACATACGTTTAGAACATAGTCTGGAAGAACACATAGGCTATTTATTATGTTTGTTTTTAATTCCGGGCGGAAAAAGTCGCGGGCGACAGCTAGTATTTAGATATAAATAAAGGTCTTTTTCACGGCGATGTAAATTAAAGTAAGGATATATATTTTGTCACATAAAGTAATCCCGCGGGTTAAATAATTAATACAAGTATATCGCAAACGGTCAGAGCGTAGGTTCCGGTCAAGGCAATAGGCTTAGCGCAAAGATTTAGTTGACAAAGTTTATTGCGGCCAAGAATATACTGTTCTCTATTACTCGATCGTAAATCACGGATGGGAAAACAATAAGCGTGAAATTGTGGAAACTACGGCCGATGTCTTGTGGCGTTAAATCTTGGGGGAGTGAAATAAATAAAAATAAATCTGAGACCTCTCCCCCTTGCGAGAACTTGATTTATTAGATAAGACTTCCAAAGCAGCTTATTTGATGCGCTGCTTATAATTTTACGAACAATTTTAATGTTTCGCTATCATGACGGGTAAATCATGCGACGTTTCCAGATATTATTTTCTTTATATACCTTCATTATTAATTGGTTATGCGACTGTTTATAGTGCGCATGATATATTTTTAATTTTTTCATAATTGTCACGTGTATCTGCTTCGCACTTTTCTTTTGACGGTTACGTAATATTTTGTTCATCTACCGTAGTAAAAGTGTGTTGTGTTAAACGGCAGTAACGTGCTACAATGTCCGCAGCTCCAGACCGGGCCGACCACCGAAGCGCGCATCGGGTGTCGGTCTCTCGCTCGCTGCCACGCAGTTCCCCGGACATCCCTTCAAGAAACATCGACTGGAAAATGGAGATTATTCACCTTACGAAAACGGACATATGAGCGGTGAGTCAAAAACATTTGTTACGTACAATCATTGAAGATTTGAGTATTAATAAATTATTTGTAATTGATTTCATTTTGAAGTTGTGTAACGCGGAATATTTTCGAAAAACCAAAATGAAACTAACGAATCGATCTTGTTCAAGATGCAACTGGGTTCAAAAAGTTAATTAACAAATGAAACAAAGTGTTGTTTGTCACATATTCGAAATTTGAATGTATACGATGATATCACAAAACATCCGGTGCACGCGGATGTAAACGTCAACTTGATCTTTACGGAAGATATTAACGAGTGCCAGTGTACAAGAGTCCGCTCATTTGCTATACAAATTACACAAATACAAAATTATCCCAACACAAACGGAGAAAAGGGAATAAAGTGATTAAATAGAGCTCAGCGCAAGACGGCTGGTGATCAATCATTTTTGTCGCTTACGCTTTTGTTGACTATTTTGTATTTTAGTCTCTTTTACTCCCGTGGGATGTGTATATGTTGTCTCTCTCGGGCGTGAAGTGTCGTGCCAGACAAGGGAGCAATTACATTCGTGATCTTGCATAAGCGGCACTTGCTTATCGCGCACTGCCGCATTTGACTTTTGAGTGTAGTTCATTCGCATTTTTTTTCCTAAATTTGCAATTCGAAACACTCTCATAAGTGAAAAAGGCATTGTTTTATTTCCACGGCACGGACTTCTGCCGTTACATATCGCGTTTGAATAATTAATATTTTTTACGAGGAACATTGCGCGTTTATTAAATTTAAATTATATCAGCGGTTGAAATGTCAAAGTTGTACAAATAGTTGGTAGTTGTATTAATGATTAACAAGAACAAGACAAGAAACAGTATCCATTCCGAGTGTGTTTTTGCAACTACACTATTCAAGTCAATCCATTCATTAAGTCCAGCTTTTAGTTGTTACTCTATGCCACTGACATATTGTTTTTGTTAATAATTACGTATATCATAGTTCTAACGTATAATTGGAAGAGTATATCATTCATATTATAAATGTTATATTAAACTTTAATGAAATTCGTGCAGATATCTAATTTCTGTTCCACTGGCGAAATGGAATTAAGCTTTAAGCCAATATTATTTTGACGAGTCGTTGACAGTGGTTTACAGCTGATGAGACGTCACTCGCACACATCGCTTTGCGGAAGCTGCACACATAAACAACCTTATACATATACGTGTATTACGTGCATGTGTTATATTGTCATTGTGTGTGTAAGAAGGCGGGTGGCCCATTTTCACCCTGTGAAATAATAGGATAGGAAAACATCGGAGCCAGAATATAATCCTCGTAGGAAGGTTGAACGGAATGGAAATAGGAATATGAAATGCGTTGAAGGGACGTGTCGGCCCACGTGCTTGCCGGAAGGGTTGATGTTTATCTTTTAGATGGTAAATCAAAATCGATGCTCATTCCGTCTTGCAATGTTTGTATCGGGCTTCTGAGTGACGTGGGTTGTAATTCACACGGATTGCAAACCTTGCTATGAAGATAAGAAAGTATCTCTACTACCTGATTCATATTTCGTAATTAATACTGATTCCATTTTTATGGCACATCTTAATTTCTTTTCACGTTTGTTCTTCTAACTTGAATTCGTTTGTTACATTAGGTTTAAAATAATTTGTGTATATATGTGTATGTATGTATAAAAATTGAGAAATTCAATATGTTCTAATTATTTACAAATCAGTAAACTAGCTATTCAGCTACGTATAAAATATCCTTTTTTTTAAATTTGATATGTGAATTTGAAATTTAAAATGAAGCTTATGATTAATGAAGGGACAGAAAATATTTAGTCTCGTCGACCCCACATTCATAGAGGCTGGCATGAAAATGATGTGTTGATAATAATTAAAGGTTTCCGTACGATGTCGCCGCGATTCGGATGTTTCCCGCGCGGGGTTTGCGGGGGTTGGGTGGTAAGGGGGGGGGGATAATGTAAGGCATTATTACATTACTCACAGGGGTATGGGAGCTTACATTCTGATTGAATTCTGCGAGTGAAATTAAGTAAGGATTTGCCTGTTTATGTTAAGGGCGTGAGATGTGATGGATCACATTGTTTCTTGTTCACGCGTATTCTCGCCTTTGTTCTGTAATTGTTAAGGTTTTGTTGGTTTAGAATAATTCCTACTTATAATTTAGCTTTTGAACCCTTCTAAAATATTTAAAGCTTGCAAAGATATCTTAAATCTTAGTAATAGTTTGGATGGATGAACATCTATCCTATGTTTGTTAGATGGTAACATCGGTTACATGGATCTGAATAAACTTTGGCACAGATACAGAACATAGTCTGGAAGAACACAATAGGCTACTAATATTTTTTTTTGATTCCGCGCGGGCGGAGTCGCTGACGATAGCTTGAAAGTCGTAAATGCAATACAATTAGGTTACAATTTTTATTTAGATTATAAATAATATTTATTTTTATTTTTGTCTTTAATCAATAAAAGACAGTCTAGATATCGAGGATCAATGTACACAAAGTGTGACGTTCGCTTCATTACTGTAATGTGTCTATTCTTGTTAATAATTTATAACAGAAAATTACCACAACGAATGGAAAATTTTACAATGGAAATGATAGAACTGTCATTTACAAATTGTGTCTGCCGACTTTATGCGAACTTTTTTTACAAGGCAACACAATTAAAACATTTATCGAATTGTAAAAAAAAAACTAATTCGCGCGCTCACTCACTGAATCGAAAATTTATCGTTTTTATACGATCGTAGTGTGTACGCAAAACGGTCGGTAAACACACCTCGAGTCTGCAATCATAGCAATTTCTTGCTATCCGCGGCCGAGTTTACAATTTTAATGGTTAAAACATCGAGTTGCAATTGCTGGCAATCAAACAAATTACTGTTGCGCCTTATAAAGAAATCGTAACAATCCGCGCGAGTGCCGGCGACAATTAAACGCCGTAGCGATGCGGCACGACGCTCTAATGTGCTGCTTTTGAATGACTTTGCAAGACAATCGGGAAACAGACACATTTTGTTTATATTTAATGTGTAAATGACGCGTTTTACAAAATAAATCGAAATATAAAAAACTACAGTTAGTGGATAGTCCAACAGACGTTAAGTTTTTGAGTTTGTAAGAGATTAATTCTGAGCTTATTACAATTACGGTGACGGCAATATCTTACTTGACACTGGCTCTATCCTCAGAAGGGAGAAATGATTTGAACTGCTTACTGTTTTGAATCTTCTACGTTCACAATTGGTCAATACACTATAATATAAATGCGAATGTTTAGACGGACGGATGGCTGTTTTTTAAAGGTATGTCCGGGGCGGCTCAACCAATCTCGATGTAATTTGACAAAAATGAAGAACTTAGTCTGGAACAATAATTCGGCTACCAATTTAGTTATTTTTCAATCCCGCATCGACGGAGTTGCGGGCGATAGCTAATCTTTGCATCTTATAAACTATGGTGCCCTATTTTTTATAATGAATGTTGTCTTTAAACTATTCGCATGTCAATGCTCCGATACTATTGTAATAATATAAAAACAGTAGAATTGGCACGAGCAGGCGGCGGCGAGTATTGCGAAACGTTCCAACTGCATTGCTGTTTAATTGTCCGTTCACTGATATATTTATTTCCGACGCGCCCACCTTTTTAATAATTATTATCAAGTAATTAGTTTAGCTACTGTCATTCACAATTATTTACAACATCAATCATAACAGTTGCTTCTATTATTTGTAAATAAATTTAGCGATCCAATTTTGTAGGCTTAGATTTTATTTTTCCACTTTTGGTGAGATAATAAAAACTAGATGAACAATTGAAGTAAGCAACCATATGTTTCTGGATAATTGTAGATAAATGCCACAAATACGGATTGCCAATTTGCAGTGATTTGCATTTAATTACTTCGCGTTTTTAAATGATAATCTTACTAATATAATAAATGAAAATGATTTGATGGATGGATGTTTGTTTGAAGATATCTCCAGAACGGTTCAACCGATCTCGATGATATTTGGCGTGTATGTAGAACATAGTTTTCAAGAACACATAGGCTACTAGTTACGTTTTTTTATTTCCGCGCGGACAGAGTCGCGGGCAATAGCTAGTTACATAAATTAGTAAAATCCTCAAGAGAAATAAATGTTTTTAGCTACTATCTAGAAAAAAAGGGATATAAACATTTTATTACTACGAAGTGTCAGTAATGCCATAAAAATCTTTTTTATTAGAACTAATTTAACAGTAATAGAAAGTAATTTACAGTTGTAAATTTGAATCGGAATGCAATAACACGTGGACGAATGATATCAATCATGTACTATCTGTAGAGAAACGGCATCGCTTTTTGTTGTTTCACACCGAGCAATAAACATTTCTTATCCTCAGCAACAAACATAACTTGGCACAATTTCCATACATTCGATATAAAGTGTTTTATTCCCATCGTTCGTTCATGGTGTGGAACGGGGCTTACAATTAAATTGTTTTGCTACCCACTTACGGCATCGCTCACACCTTGAGACTCATCACCGCTTCGTTTTAGCTTTTTTATAAGAGTAAAAGCATAACGTTGGAATTTCTTTTAATTAGCAACACCGGCCGTATTTGTGCGGCTCTGGCAACATTCCTCGCTCGCCTCAATGTTGGAGAAGTTGTTTCACTTTTGCCGAATTATCTTCGCATCCAACATTCGTATGTGTAATATTAATGCAACGAATTCACCATCAATTGGAAATATCAATTGGTAATATGGAGAACTGATCGCCAACCTTCTCTAGTCGGAGAGGCACCTCAAGAAGAAGAAGAATGAAATTAAATTGAAATCATTTGCATCATCATTAACATGTCAACGAGCGTTCGAATAATGAAGTGTTAATTAACTGTTTGATCGAAACTGGATTATTCTTTTTCTTTTTCAATATCTTTGGCATTTTTATTATCTGTGGTGCGACAGTAATAACCGAGTATTAAATCATTGGAATA